AACTATATATATATATATATATATTCTATATATATATATATATAATCAGGCAGAAAAATGCCCTACACCTACCAAAAACAAATGGGAATTCATAAACTCATGGGCAAACTTACTCGCCTCAAGCAATCCAGGGTTTTATGTTGCCGGCTATTTACCCTGAGCGACACAGGAAAGGACCTCACCAAAACCCTTAAAATTCCAATACAAAAAGTATAATCGTAACCACAATAGATCCACATGTACACACACCCAAAAAATAAATTATTCATCATTAAACTTGAGAAAACTACATACCATCCACTAAAATATAATTCTAGCAGGTCTTAAGAGAGCTGGATGCAACAGTCAAATAGCCAGTATCAGCTGGCTTTTATAGCCCTCCCACCCTTCAAGTTAATACGAGCCAGGTGCAGATGCCCAAACTGGAACCCGCATATGCGCACAAGCTTGCCGGAAGTGATATCACGTGCATGCGCCAAAGCACTTTAGCGCCATTCTGGAACATCCACCGCTGACCTCACCAGCACATAGAGTCCAAACAGGGTTCGCTAGCAAACCAGCAGGCCAAAAAGATGGAAACCTTTTGGCAATCGGGACCCAACAAAGTGCGCCACCGTGTGAGGGGGCACATTGGCACCCTTTCAGATGGCGCCCATGGGCGCCCAATGGCCATCAAGGTTTCCCCACACTTTCCCCTAGCAACAAAAGGGGGCGGAGAAGAAAAAAGAAAAGATGGATGCAAAAAAACATGAATATGTTTAAAATATCACACATAGTCTCAAGAGACATTGAATCTCATACTTGTGCCTAGATACACATTTGGCATGCTAGATGCCCTTGTACCCAGGTGAAAACATTGAACAGCCCCCAGGGGTAAATACCCCTGCAAAAACCACTAATAATAGCAATATAATGAGTTGTACTTAAACCATAACAAATCATAGAACAAACTACAACTAGTTTTGAATTTTAAATTCTTAAATTGAGACAGCGTTCAGGGTTGTCGATTAACAGAGTACAATAGTGCACAGCATCTGTTTTACCTAAAACACACTGATAACATCTGTTTTTTAAATCTAAAGCTAACCCTGAATTTTGACTTGACTTTTGACCCTGACCTAGAAACCAAGCACTTACCCTGGACTGAACAGAAAGCTTCATTGAACTAGGGTATTTTTTTCTTTTCTTATATTATTTTAAATATTTTTGATTTATTTTTTTACAAACATTTTTTTTCCCCTCTATGCCAGGAGTTAGAGAGAGTACAAAATCAGACTTCTCCATCTGCATAGAGAGAGAAAAAACACAAGCTGCAGACTGTCCAGGAGTTTCACTGTGCAAAGCTTCACATTGAACAAGCTGAGTCCCAGGGTCCCCGATCATAAAACGGGACTCGGACTTATTGACAACCATGGTTTTGTGCTATGCATAAGGGAGTTGCTCCCAGACTCTCCACTTTAGTAATAAACCCCATGTATGGTCTAGGCCAATATTTTGTGTTAACGGTTGGCAGCAAGGGGTTAAAATATACACATAGTCTCAAGAACCATTGAATTTCATAACATTGTGCCTAGATACAAGGCATGGAGTTTGTCAAAACATCTCCATGTTCAATAATCCAGGTATAATGAGTGGTCCATAACAATTGTCATAGCAAACTACAACTAGTTTTGAATTTTAAATTCTTAAAATTGAGACAAAGGGTTTCGATGATACAAGTAGCAAGGCCATGTCCCTATAAAAAGGACTTGAAACTAGGTGTTTCAATTTTCTTTTTACAAATGAATGCAACATGGTCCACAAACTCTCTGCATAGAAAAAAAAGGTCTGCAATAAAATTGCATCTGCCACAACGGCTGTACCAGTCTGATTTTGGACTCTTAGATCTAATCCTGGGTTTGTTTGAATAGTGGCTCCACTGAACCATGTTGAAAGTTGAAAGTGATGTGAGACCTCTATACGTTATTTACTAGGTAAATCCATGTTCACATATTTTGATAGGTGTTTTCTGTTCATCTTTTCAAATGTATGCAACTGGTCACAAACTCTCTGAGAAGTCTGCATAATATTGCATTCAGTATCCTAAACTCTATGCTAATCATGGAATAATAGTGGCTTGTAATTAGCCTGACATTCTGGTATGTTGATTATTTTGAACTTTTTTCTTCATTATAGGATCAATGATTCAGTATCCTCTCTATCCTGACCATTTGTAGCCCATTTGATTTGATTTAACTTTTTTTTATGGATCAATGAGATCATGAAGGCTTTTTTGCATATTGCTATAACCCCTATCCCTTAATTGATTTTGAAGGGCCTTGGCCTCCACTTCAAAGTCCCCCAGGTCAGTAAAATTCCTTTTAAGACGAAGGTATAGGCTATATGGTATACTTGACACCAGAGGCTGACACCAGTAGCATGTAGAATGGTATTCCCAAAAAATGGTTTTCTATGGAGAGTAGAACCTAAGCTGCCGTCCCTCTCAACAAAAATCTGGACATTCAGAAAGCTGATTGTCTCCTGGTGACAATGCATTGTAAATTTGAGGTTAAAACTGTTTTGCCTTGAAATCAACATAAATGTCTGTAATTCAACTATTGAACCAGTCCAAATCATAAAAAGATCATCAATAAACCTATGCCAAATTAACACCTTATTGAATGTCTTCTCTGAAAAAAAGCTCAGGCTCCCACCCCCCCAGGTACAGGTTATCGTATGATGGGGCACAACGTGTCCCCATCGTCACTCCCTGCAGCCGAAGGTAGTGGGAATGCCCAAACATAAAGATGTTGTTTGCCATAACAAACTATAAAAGGTCATGAATTAACTGGTTGTATTGACCTGATGAAACCCCTCATTCTGAGATAAAGCCCTCAACAAGCCTAACCCCCCATTCATGAGGGATTGAGTTGTAGAGGGCCTAAACATCCACTGCCACCAGCCAAGCCCTTTCTGGAACACAGATTCCATCCAGGGTCCTTAATAGGTCCATTGTATCCCTGACATAAGAGGTCAAAGCTTCAACATGTGGGAGCAGATAAACATCAACTAATTGACTAGCATGTTCAGTAAGACAACCTCTTTCTGAGACTATAAGCCTCCCGGAAGGGTGGGTCAGGTTTCTATGAATTTTGGGTAAAAAATAAAGGGTAGGTGTCCTGGGAGATTTACCATTTAAGTATTCCCAGGTTATCCTTCTCATCTATGATGCCTTCAATGTAAGCCTGGCTAACTAGACTTCTGTATTTAGAGATTACTCGATCAACATAAGTGGCAGAAACCTTTTTATACCATTCCCGGTTCTTTAACCTCCTTGGCGGTATTCCCGAGTGTAGCTCGGGGTAACATTTCAGTACCAAAAGCGGTAACCCCGAGCTACACTCGGGAATACCCTGCGGCGCTGCTCCGGCATGTGTTCTTCACTTACCTTACCCTGCGCTCCCACGATGTGTCCCCTGCAGCGTCCCCGGCCATCTCCTCCGGCCGATGCCGGCATCCGGCTTCTGTGTCCTGTCCCTGTGACGTCGGGACGTACGGACGCCGCCGGCGGCGGCGGCGGGAAATTTAAAAATTTTTAAAAATGTCATTTTTTTTTTTTTTCATTTTACACAGTAAAACATTGCTGTTTCAACCTATTTCACATACATATTGTCCCTAGTGCTTTGTCCTGTGCCCTGCCTGCATTTTGTCTGTTCTTTCTGCCTGGAAACTGAGAAATGTCCATGGCGTCCAAAAAGTGTCCCTTTAGGTCAAAAGCGGTTTAGATCAGCTAGAGAACAGCGATAGTAAATCAGAACCACTTACAGAATTGAGTGATAATGATTCGTGGGGGAAATTCGTCATCAGAAACTGAAAACGATTTTGCGACTGAGCTCAGCAATGTGCGAACTTGGCGCTCTATTTCACATTTCAGTGTTTTTGGTTTGATTATATTATTGAATTAAATTTTTTATTATTTTTATATTATTTTTTATGATTATTTATTAAATTATAATTTATGATTTTGTGTTTCAAATTTTATCATACCCGGGATGTTTACTAGACTCTTGTTCGGACAGATTTCAGTGAGTTTTTCCTAAAAATTACAGCCTACAATAAAAAAAATACATATTTCCATGCAAAAAAAATGGTACCGCTTTCAGCACCAAAAATCTGAAATAATCATACCGCCAGGGAGGTTAAGATGTCTAGCACCATTTCCTCATATTGTTCAGAATTCATCACTACCAGATTCCCACCCTTGTCAGATGGTTTAATAATAATCTGATGATTGTGTTTCAGACTTGCCATAGCTGCCTTTTGACTTGGTGTCAAATGTGATGTTTATCCCCCTTTCCATGTTATTTGCTCAATTTCTTTGGTCACCGGCTGGGTAAATGCCCACATATTGGGGTTTCCTTGCATAATGGGAAATATTCTGGATTTGGGTTTATAGAGTTGCGGGGGGGGGGGGAATCTGGGAGTTGGAAAGGGTAGTCCCTATTAGGGGGCCAGCCTCATCCTCGGCTGCCTCCTGGGCAGCAGATATTTCATCAAGGTAATTCCCCTCATCCCACAACTCCATTAAATCATTGAGCACCTTCATATCATTTAACGTCATGTTGCTCAATAATTGATTGTCTAAAGGCTTTAATTCAGATATGGTGTTCTTTGTGTCATATAAAACTTTGAACATTAGCCTACAGACAAATAAATGCACGTTGTGCAGGACAAAAAGTAAGTCCAAGGCTTAAAACTTGAATTTTTTCAATAGTCGATAGGTATGAATATAAATTAATCACTTCAAATTTTGTTTGATTGTCAGAGATTTGAGGTTCGGCACCTCCGCATTGAAGACCTTCCTGAGGTCTGGTGTTGCTTGGGTTAAAAAAATTGGTGCTGTGCATACATCACCCCGTGCAAATTAGACTGACTTACCCTGTTGCTATTTGGTAAATTTTGTGTATAAGAAGCAGTAGAAAAAGAAGAAGAAGCAGATCCTGTATCACCTGTAACACCTAATTGAGATTGTGATGCTGAAACAACATCAAACTTTCCTGATTAAGATCATGAAAAATTACATGTACAGTACAACCTGAATGAAGAGTGCACTTTGGTGTGGACATATGGGGACCCTCCAGGGGCGGACTGACCATTTGGAAACTTGGGCACTGCCCGAGGGCCCGGGGTCAGTAGGGGGCCCCATGAGATGCCCCTGGTACCTTTTTCATAGGCTTTTTTGAGTTTGGGCAAGGACACAGGGGCCCCATGATCCCCTATTGCCCTGGGAGCCCCATGAGTGTTCAGTCCGCCCCTGGGTCCCTCTCCCTCATTTTTCCTATTATAAGGCCCCTGTGTTTGAGCACCAGATTGGGGTAAGTTTACCTGTGAAGGAAATGCAGAAGAATAAGAAGATGCAGCATCAGATTTATTATATTCACTTGTCTTGTAAAGGTACCATCAGAAGTACAATTACATCTAATTCTTTTGCTTTGGCTATATGGCATTTTGTATAGCCATGGGTTTTAGTAAGATTGTAACAAAGATAGCTGTTTGTATCTACAGTTTTAAAATAAGTTTTATTGGCAATTAAATTGCCAACATCACCTATAAGTACTAAATCCAAGAATGTTATCTCATTGGATTTTGTATGTACTGTAAAGTGAAGCCCTATATTTTTAGAGTTCAGATATGCAACATATTCCATTAAAAGTAATGGCTCGCCTTGCCAGATGCATATAATATAATCTATAACATTTTTATGGGTTCCTGATCTAGGCTTTATGGCAAAGTGGCTAGACCAGATAAAGAATTAGCTCCTGCGCTACCTCAATGTGACCATGTAATAAAAAACAATGTATAGAGCTGCTGCTAGCATCAAAAATTGTGTTCCCACAACATAAACATAAATAAATAAAATAAACTTAATGCTGCACTGCTAATGTAAAATATACATACCAAATCATCAAACAATTGAATATGAAAACACTAAATATATATATAAAATGTACATAAACCATAAAATATCCATAGAAACATCTCAGTTTTCTTGGTAGTGTTGTCTTTAAATATGGGTTCTTTAGGAGACTGTGCCAGTGGGATTGTATTTTTTATTACACTATGGTGGGTGTCACATCTTGCGATGAGGTTGCAGTCTTGTTCCAGATGATTAGTGCTGTCCTTGCGACTGGGAAATAAGAGTTTTTTCTCTTTCCACATTCATAGAATTGTTTCCTTTACTGGTCCCTGGAGCTGGCATCTTAACTGTGAGCAGCTGGCTGTGACTACTTGTGGCTTCACAGCTGGCTGCCCACTGCACATGCAAGAGCTGCACTGCACCTGAATGGTCTCACAATCGTCTGGGACCTATGAAATGTCTAAAGCCCTATGAGGGCTTTAGACATGGAAGGGGAGGGATGAGAAATCCAGGTACCTGCCCCCCCCAAAAAAAAACAAACAATATTTACCAAATGTGTCTGGAGAGGGGGGGAGTGAAACTTCCCCTTTGGGTTGAAATTCCACTTGAAACCTTTTTGTTAATCTGGTGGCTTGTTTCTGAAATTTTTTTAGAGTTGAGCAATTTTTTCTTAGGTGTAGGAATTGACTGTATGAAATATGTGTCTTCCAACTCTCCAGGTGGTTGCTGTACAAAACTATATAGTCAGTATTATTCAATCATCAATGATGCATACAGTAACTATATGTGCAGAAAATCAATTGCATTGACATCATGGGGTTGATTTACTAAAACTAGAGAGTGTAAAAATCTGATGCGGCTCTGCATAGAAACAAATCAGCTTTCAGGGTTTTTTCTGTCAAAGCTCAACTGAACAAGCTGAAGTTAGAAGCTAATTGACTACCATACTCAGCTGCACCAGATTTTGCACCCTCCAGTTTTAGTAAATCAGTCTCTATGTGTGGCTGTGAAGTTGATGCCTGATGTACTGCAAAAAGCAAGAGTGCCATTTAGAGAATGCTTTGCATGTTCTGAATGAATACAAAGAGCTTTCTGATTGGACGAGGTGCGGAGTGTGACATGACTGCCCTGCCTCTTCCCCTTGTTTAATCAGTGAACATTTTTGGTTTCATTCAGAAAAAATGAAAAGTGTTCTGTGAATGGTGCTCATTCTGAATGTTTTTTGTGTTCAGAGTGCATCAGGCCAACTGCTCAGCATGGGACCGACAGGCAAGTGGAAATCACTGGAGTAGCAGTATCTTCTTCAGTGATTTCCAGTTTTCAGGGGCATCAGCCAGGTTTGGTACATACATTGTTACATTGTTCTAAGCTGGTCCTCTGCGTATGTAAAGAGAGGAGACTCATTCTGAAAATGAAATGTACCATATCCACAAGTCCCAAGGAGTAATTTCTTATTTCACGGAACCTGAAACATTTTAGGGTTTCTACTTCAATTTGTTTGCTGTCCCCCAAAACATTGGAGCATTGACCCCATGTTGTACCTGAAAGAGTTCAACATTTTCCATCTGTATGGGGGTAAAATGTTTTGTATGGAATCCACCTAGACAGTCATTGCTTCCCTCCTTCTGGGAGATTGTCTGGCCTCAGTGGACATCAGGAATGTTTACCTGAGCATTCTTACGTGCATGTCCTTAGCTTTTTGCTTACTGCATTTTGCTTTGAACATGCAGCACTACTAGTTTGTTGCCTTTCTGTCAAGGTCCTACCTTTTCCCTGAGGTTATGTTACTCCATGTGCTGGCGTCCATCTTGGATTCTGCTGTGCATGATGGGAATCCTTTTATGCCTTCTGTGGTCCATCCTCCAGAGGGGTGTGGCTGATGACATATAAGCCTGTGGCCCGCACATGCTCTTTGCACTTGTGTCTTGTGTCTTTGTGTTGCTATTACTCTGTTCTGACTCTCGTGACTCTCCTGGTATCTGATTCGGCTTGTCTTGACTATTCTTTGTATTCTCCTTTGATCTGACCCTCTGTTGCTGAACCCGGCTCGTGACCTGTGATTCTCGTCTGCTGTCCTGTACTGTTCTGTCCTGTTGTTGTTGACCCCGGCTTGTCTGACTACTCTTTTGTCTCTTCCACCAGCTACACGCCATTGGCGGCGGCCATTACCGCAGCTGAGGTGTGTCGGGGGCCGCGACCTGGTTCCTGGCTGCGTCAAGTCCATCCCCACCATCAGGGGCCCTGGTGAAGGGCAGCCTGGGACTTAGACTCCGCGCCCTGAGGGACTTTGGTCTGTGGGTGGTGGTTGTCGTCAGCCAGTGCGTTACATTGTTAGGCCTGCCTGTCCGTTCCTCAGCTCCTGCCTTGACACTTTCCCTTTGGGCTGCCCACAGCAACTTGAGTTTTTACGAATGTTTCAGCTCCTGTTCTAGCCTTGCTATGGTCTCAGTGCATTCTCATTCTAGTATACCTGAGTAATCTCTTACTGAAGGAACAGACAGCACTTTATCAATCAAAGTCCACCTCACTGTCGCCCAATTAACTATGAACTACGAGCAATTTGGTTGTCCCTGTATATCTGAACCTTTCGATTTGGTTGTCCCTGCAATGCTGAACTTCTCGCCTGCACAGTCATCTGATTTGGATTGCTTCAGACAATGTCCCAACAGTGTCATACATCAATCATCAAGGAGGAACCAGAAGTCTTGCAGCTCAAAAGTAAGTTGACCAGGTGACTTAGGAGAAATATCACATTATCTGAGGTGCACATTCCAAGTGTGGAAAATACCCAGAACTTCCTAAGTTGACAGCATATGCAGAATAGTATCTTCACCTGGAGTTGTTCCAGGACTTCTGTTGCAGGTGAGGAACATCAGAAGTGGATATCCTTGTTTCCTGTTCAACAACAAACTAAGCAATTTCGAATCCAAATCCAAACCAGTGGAAGCTTTGGAGACCCAATGGACTCTAAAGTCTCATCTGCTCTGCTGGATCGAGATGGAGGGGAATAAAAGTGATACTCATCACACCAAACTGGCCCAGGTGGATGTGGTACACTGACCTCATCAGACACCTGACAGGCTTTTCCAGACTGTCCTGATTTCTTGTTCCAATGAATGGTTTACTAATCTGCATCATTGTTTCTGGCTTTAATGACATGGCTGCTGATGTCCTAAGGGATAGTAGTCTATTTGAAGCCTATATTCCTACACTCCCTAAAGCTGGGAAGTTTGTGTCTTCCAAGGTTTACCACTGCACTTGGAAAGCCTACTTCACATGGGGAAAGGCACAGACATTCTGTCCCAGGCAGTACGCTGGACTTTTCTCCAGTTTGGTCTGGATCAACAGCTGGCCCTGAGTACCACCAAGGGTCAGACCTAAGCTCAAGTGATTCTTTTTTAAAGACCACTTGCTTTTTATTCTTCAGTAAAATTCTTTGTACAGTGGGTCATATAGTTCCACCTATACTGTACATCCACATGTGACTCAGTGGGACCTAATTCTGGTTTTGTTAGGTCTTCAAAAATTACCCTTTGAACATATCAGAGCTATTCCTCTGTGTTTGCTCACTCACAAGGTAGCTTTTCTCAGCACCTCGAATGAGACACGTTTCTGTGTTGGCAGCCTTGTCCTGTAAGAAACATTTTCTTATGCTTTACAGAGGCATGACTGTAATTCCATCCACATTGCACTCCTATGTGTCTCTTCTACTCAGTTACATCCCAAGGAAATTTTCCTCCATAGTTTAGATTTCTAACAGGCTTTTAGATTGACAGACTCCCTCTTTCTCATTCCGTAGGACCCCTGTAGAAGTTAACCTGCTTTTCGCTTGGCCTAGACAGCCTATTGGTCTAATGATTAAGTTCCACCTTTAAAGGCACATTCTTCTAGGTCAATAAATTCTTCTTTGGTCTTTCATATACACATTCTCTAAGTTTTACCAGGTAGATGTTCAGGTGTCCGCTGATGCAAGCTTTGGGCATAAGATCCTATAGGCAGCATTTGAGCCTGTCAGGTTTTTATTGATGTCTCTGATATCATTAGGGATATTTGCTCTTTTCATTTGTCCTATTTACCATTATCACCAAAAGTGAAAGTGAAAGAAAATCCCAAATTTTTGACTGTCATCAGAACAGGAAAGAGTTGAAATTTTCCATTACGGCACAAGGTCTGGTGATAACCAGAGATTTCCTCTCTTTAAAGGAATTTTCTCTCACTTCCAGTTTTGGCTATGGGACAAGAAGTGAAGGGAAATCTCCCCAATGAGACACAAATGGCAAAATAAAAAAAATGTCTTTAGCTCTACTTTATTAAACTTGGAGAAAAGGAGCAAAGGAGTTTACAGTAAAGAAAGAAACACAATAAAACACTTTCAATGGTATATT